GTATAACAACTTAGAGGCAAATACATAGAAATTAAATACCTTTTTTCAGACTTGTTCCGAATAGCAAGAAGTAAAGAATGACCACAACCATATTCAACTCATGTATTAAAGTAACATTCAGACCCAAAAGAAAGCATAAGCTACTAAAATCATAATATTACAGTTCCAAAATAAAACATATCGTATGAGTGTCAAAGTTATCATATGTAAATATATCACACACGTTACTTCTCAACAACAACAATGAGCAAAAATAACATCACAACCACTATAAATAGTATGGTCAATGCAATACACCCACAACCACCATATAGCATATACTTATGCTTAGTTTGTTCAGCTTACATTGCTAAAATTATACCCTCCAATTCATCATCTATATTTCCTTCAACATGTGCACCTTAGTGCAAAGCATCCAACCATATGAATGCACGTGGGTGTGACTACAATAATGAAAAACGTGTATAATTATGACAAGAAATTTGATATCATAATAAATCATATCAATTATGATGTATACATTTAATCATAACAATTATGATGTATACATTTAACCATACCTCCCATTTTGAACATCTATAGAAGAAACGTCATTTATTTTTCAGAGTTCCTACCCTGTAAAGATTCATGGGACCTCTACCACATGCACACGGTGGTCCCTGTACTTCATACATGACTGCATATTCATCAAATTAAGGTTAACATGCAATAAGAACCACAAATACAACAAATATACTACGACATTACATACAGTCATCCCGCAATGTAATAAGTGAAACTAAAGCAATTAAAGTAGTTAAAAGTACTAATAAAGTTACAGTCATCCAGTGTCATATAAGTCAGGTTAAAATGGATATTCTCAACGGCGTTGCACAGTTCTCCATATTGCATCAGCAATATTATCACGGATGCGATCCATTGCTCGTACCTGACCTGGCGTAGCGTTTACCTCTACATGGGGCTCACTTTGCGAAGAAGAAGATTCTGGGTCATCCCCTAACTCATTACCATCAAAGATAGTATCACTTTGACCCTACATTTTTTTAAAATTGTGTATCGTACAACATGCTATGATAATAAGTTTTTGAGCATCAAAACCAAATAGAGGCATCTGCTTTAAAATAGGGAATCGCATCTTTAACAAACCAAAACAACGTTCTATGAAATTCCTCAACGATGGGTGTCTATGATTATATACTTCTTCACGACCACGTGGTCCTCTCGTATTTCTATGGTAATCTTGTAAGTGATACCGTTAACCCCGATACAGAGCCAAGTAACTTGGCTGATTTGCATAACCGAAGTCCACCAAATAGGACTTCTTGCAATTTTTTTAAGCTTTTTAGACAACTAGATAATATATTTTATACTTACATATAACTCGTAAGGCTTTCCAATTATTATTACCTAATTATAACATGTTTTTTGCCTATCCTATACTTATGTTGATATTGGTGCTATATGTTGATATTTCTCTATTATTATTCCATATACTTGATACTCTGATATGTGTTGGAGTTCATTGATTTTGTCAGGTACTAAGAACCAAGTTTGGGGGTGACTTCTCTATTTTGCCTTTCTGTGCTTCATTTTGGTATACATTTGCTGGTCTGGTATAGTATGGTAATATCCTTCTAACTCTACTTTGTTTTTACACATTGAGGACAATGTGCACACTAAGTTTGAAGGTAAGGGGAAATTCAATTTTTGATGATAGCCTACACCCATCTCAGACAACAACTTTTGAAAATCCTTGTGTATTGCCCTCAATTGGTTGAATTTATTTCTAAGTTGTTTAATGGTGTATGTTTTGCCTGTTTCAACCATCATTCCTTCGATTAGCTTTTTCCACCCAACATTGTTAAAAGTTGCATTTCTACAATTTCCTTGCCTAACCTCTTCCTCCACCAGCAAAATAAATTTCTCTTCCAAATAGTCATCCCAAATATTTTTCCCATCATCCATCGTGTCCATATCTACTTGTACCTCATCACCCAAGCTCATTTCATTGGCATATTCATATAGATTATTGGGATTAAGATCCATCTAACAAACATAATAGTTATAAAAGTATAATCAAAAATATTATTGAGAACCAATCATAAAAGTTTTTTAAATGAAAAAATTTACATGTTGGAAGTCATTTTTTCATATAGGTAGCATAATACACAGTTTTATAATTTGATCAAAGTTTTCATATAGTTATACGCAAAAGATGAGGTTCAGTACAAATAAAAAGTATAAGAAGAAATATTATTTTACTGAGAACCAATCATAAAAGATTTTTAAATGAAAAAAAGTTACAAGTTGGAAGTCAGTTTAAATATAGGTAGGCATGATACACAATTTAAACAACTAGATCAATTGGGTTTCAATTCAGTTTGCATATAGTTCTAACAAAAAAACTGAGATTCAGTAACCAATGACAATATATTTTTAAATGAAAAAAAGTTACAAGCTAAAAGTCACTTTGCATATACGTAGAATGATACACGGTTTTACAATTTGATCAATTACTTTCAATTTAGTTTTCATATAGTTATACACAATAACTCAAGTTCAGTACAAATAAAAAGTATAAGAAGATATAATATAACGCTTACTAAGAACCAATCAAAAAAGATTTTTAAATCAAAAACAGTTACAAGTTGAAAGTCAGTTTGCATATAGGTAGCATGATAAACAGTTTTAACAAATAGATCAATTTGGTTTCAATTCCAATTTGCATTTTGTTGTACGCAAAAACTGAGTTTCAGTAACCAATGACAAAAGATTTTACATCAAAAAATTTACAAGTTGAATCGAACTAACCAATCTGTAATTTCAAAACAAACAAGATCATTAGACACAACATATAAAAAACGAATCGAAGTAACCAATCTATATATTCAGAAAAATGAAAGACAGAGAAAAAAACTCTAATTTATACACAGCAAGATCATTAGACACAACATATAAAAAATGAATCGAAGTAACCAATCTGTATATTCAGGAAAATGGAAAACAGAAAAAAAAAAAAAAAACCCAAATTTATACACAGAAAGATCATTAGACACAACATATAAAAAATGAATCGAAGTAACCAATCTGTATATTCAGAAAAATGGAAGACAGAAAAAAAAACCCTAATTTATACATAACAAGATCATTAGACACAACATATAAAAATGAATCGAAGTAACCAATCTGTATATTCAGAAAAATGGAAGACAGAAAAAAAAAACCCTAATTTATACATAGCAAGATCATTAGACACAACATAGAAAAAATGAATCGAAGTAACCAATCTGTATATTCAGAAAAATGGAAGACAGAAAAAAAACCCAAATTTATACACAGCATAAAACAAAAATTGATCCTACACAAATCTATAAATTCAAAAGTAGTGTTGAAATTCTTACTTTTAGGACGAATTAAAGATCAGTGACAACGTCATGCCACTGCAACACTAAACGAACAACCCAACACAAACACAAAAAATTTAATTGAAGTGAAAATAATGTTAAAAACAGTTGAAATTTCATTTCAGAAGTAGGGTATCTAAATCGAAGACACAAAATAGACCCAAAGTTATGCACAACATAGAACAAAATTGAATCAAAATACTAGAAATTTTTTTTTCAGAAGAAGGGTTTCCAAATCTAAGACAGAAATAAACCTATAATTTATACACAACATAATAAAATATGAAATGAAGTAAAGAAAATTTGAAATACCAAAGCACGATTTTCAGATCCAAGCACAAATTCAACCCAAAATAAGACAAAAGATAATAAAATCTGAATCAAAGTGACAAAACTTGAATTTCCGAAGTACGGTTTTCAGATCTAAGCACAAATTCAACCAAAAATAAGACACAAAATAGTAAAATATGAGTCAAAGTGACAAAACTTGAATTTTTGAAGTACGGTTTCCAGATCCAAGCACAAAGTCGACCCAAACTGTTACACAACATGACAAAAAACTCATCCAAGTAACAAAACTGAAACCCTCACCACTAGGGTTTTAGATATAATGAAAAAAACGAAGATGAAATAGGAAAAAACTACCATCAAGACGAAGAAGAAGACGAACAAGAACAGAATGGAGTTATGTTTACCGATCGGAGCCTGCAAGAACATCGTTTATAGCGACGGGATGATTTGAAGCTCGGTGCACAGTGGAATCGCCTCCGAATCGCCCTAGGGTAAGCTCTCATTTGCTTTCACATTTGTGGCTAGATATTGAAAATATTGCTTCAAGTATTTGGGCCTAATGATTCCACTAATGGGCCACAGTGCATGAAGCATTTTATCGATACAGTTGTGGAACTATTATGATGCTTCTAAAGATAGGCCCAATTTTAGAAGTGTTTTCAGCACTGTTCGGAAGAGTAGCAGTTTTCACCAAACATGCTTTGGGCTGGAATTTCGCTACAAGCGAAAAACATGTGGCAGAAGCAACCACCAAACATGCCCTTAGTAATTTTTACTTTTTATATACAGTATTTACTTTTGTAACCTCCTTGATTAGTAGATTTGGGTTTTATATTTATTGGTTAGTGGATTTGGGTTTTATATTTAAAAATAATAAAAATATAAATATAAATAAAAGGAGTTTATTAAGAAAGTTTTACGCAATTAGTACAAGTTCCATTTGTTTAAATGTAAAATATTTTTAAAATATTTTTATTTTTACTTTTTGATTTTTAGTTATGGTAAAATATTTATGAAAAAAATAAAAAAAATAAAAAAATAATTTATTCATTAATTCTCCACAAATCATTTTATAAAAATAAAATATAAAAAATTAATAAAAATAATTTATTCATTAATTCTCCACAAATTATTTTATAAAAATAAAATATGAAAAATTAATAAAAATAATTTATTCTTAAATTTTTGACAAATTATCTTAGACAACTCCTAATTTATCTCAACTTAAAAAATAAAAATAAAAAAATATTTTCGGGGAAAAAATATTTTCCGTCATACTCTCTGAAATTTTTGAGCCTAGTTGTCCTCATCTCATATTGAAAGCCTCTGTAGTAAGGACCCGTTGCCTCTGAAAGGGTTGGTTAGCCACTTCTGAAACTTTATTTGTAGCTGAGAGACCAGAAGAGCACTTGTGATTTCATAGCTGGAGAGAGAGAGAGTAGAGTAGGCAACCTTTTGAGATTACTCACTAGGAAATGGTTGATCGAGACAGAGAGTGGGACTTTCATCTCCGATCCTTATCCTCTAGTGCCAGAGACTCCAATTTCGCCAACGATCCTGCTTCCGATCCATCTCTCCTTACCTCAGTAAGTTTCTCTAAAACACACACTCTCTCTCTATATACGTGTGTATATGTATATATATAAATACATTTTTGTTCCGTGATTTGTTTGATTGCACTGTTCTATATACAATATTTATTTATGTTTCTATATAATCAGGTGAAAAAGCTTTCTGAATTGTGCAAAGCTGAGAAATCTGAGGATTTGATAGCTAGGGTTTATCCGCAGCTCAGCAAGATTTTTCAACGCTCCGTGGCTGCAATTGCTCAATCTCGGTCCTCTAACGGCCTTCTATCACTGGTGTAGTGTTGTTTTACATTTCTTTGATCTTCATTATCCATATTTCTTGTTGTATACTCCAATAAGTATAATTAGAATTAATTTAGCTTAATTAAGAATATGTAGGCCTATTGCTTATAGTTTATATTGTTTATCGTTGCTCAGGCAATTCTTCAATTTTTCCTTGATTTCGGGGAGGTGGTTCTACACGATGCTGATCCTAGTCTGAGGACTTTTTTCCGTTCATGCCTGAGCCGGTAAAGATATAGCTAAGCCATTTTTTTACCAATGGGCATTAGCCCAGATGGTATGATCTCTCCTTCCTAAAGGGGAACATTGAGTGTTTGAGCCATGTTAGGGACAATATTGATATATTGTGGGTGTGTAAGCTTAAAAAAAAAATCCATGAAATTTAAACCCATAAAACCACATAAAATGAACAAGTGAATCATTTTAATGCAGTTCATACTATGATATTGGATGAAGAAGCATCTAATTCAAGAAATGTTTTGTGGTCTTTGATGATATTCTGCATTGCGCGAACTTGGCATCGGACATGTTCTTGCACAGTATGAACACAATAGTGTGATTCACTCTTATAAAACTTGAAACAAACACAAATAAGTTGTGGCAATGCACATATAAAGCTTATATTTTGAAATTCTATATATGACAATATGTACATGTCTGGCAATCAAGAAGAAATATGGCTATTAAGAACAAGTGTTTGTGGTACTTAGATAGGCCTCTATGTAACTTGTTTCACATAATTAATTTGTTTTTCTCATCTCTACTTGTAGGATTCCTAACTATAAATGTTTTTGGTTTTGTTGTTCAAGAATATACGGTACAAGAGGTCAATTGATATCCATCAGTTGGTTCACTTCCTTGTCATTGTTTTTTTGTTTATTACTATATTCTCAACTTTCTTTTCTTTCTTTCTTTATTTTTACTTTTATTTTTATTTTTTATCATCATATTCTCTCTCTCTCTCTCTCACTCAGTCACTCAATCACTCCAGGATTGTATAAGTGGCCTCTAAAACATTTAATAGCAATGCCCCTCTTTTAGCTACTCTGTCGTTATCAATAGCAAAGTATAAATAGATAATAAGATGAAGAAACAAAGCGGTAAGAAATCTAAGGACCGTGGCATGAGGCTTTGATACGTCATTGTAGCTACAATGCATTAGATCTTTAGGAAGGTGAATAGATCTTATGGATTAATTTGCATTTTCAACTGACTTAAAATACTTATTACTGTGATTTGAATTATAGTTAATTAGTTTGATTTCATAAATCATTGGCATCAACACAATCATAAAAAGTAAATAGTAAGAGCAGAGATACAAGATTTTTACATTAAAAACCCCTAAATAGTGTAAAACCACAGTTCTAGTCTATCCATGAGCACACTGTATGAGAAAAAAGTTAGAATTAGGTTAGGAGTTCTCATATTCTAAAACCCCTAGTTACCTCTTGACACAGACCGTAGCAAAATTCTCCAATCGAGTCTTCAAGCCCTTAGTCTGCTCCATTAACAAACTTTGCTCCTCACATAATTGGCTTCTCCATGGTTGTTAATTCTTTCCAGTCTACGCTATTATTGGGTGAATTACTCTTTCTTATTTGTCTGAAGATCTCTTTGTAGTTGATCACTCAATCACATATGATTGTTTCTAAGGGAAACCTTAGGATTGAGGAATAAGGAATTTTCTCTCTGAAAAATAAAGATTCTCTCTAGAATTCTCAAAGGCTTGGATGGATACCCGAGACTGACTATAACTTGAATTTATAGTTAATATAGGAGATCCATGTAATATAGTAAGTTAAATCCTTTTAGAAATCAAATCTAAGAGATTTTCCAAAAATAAAATTTTGCAGGGTTTGATTGATCGAGACATTGATTGACACCTTATGGATCGAGCCTTCGGTTCAGGCTTACTAGAGTTCATAAAAAAATTCGTCAGGGAAAAATTTCTTCCAATCCACGTGTCACACCTTATGGATCGAGCCTTCGGTTGAGGCTTACTAGAGTTCAATTAAAAAATTCGACAGGGAAAAACTTCTTCCGATCCACGTGTCAGTGGAGGCTTTTTGGTGAGCCTTCAATCAATTGACCTATTGATAAACACAATCCATTTTTTTAATAAAAATTTATTTTGAAAACTTTTCTGAAAATTTCAATTTAAAACTCCCAACTTTGAGAAACAAGTTTAAAAATGTATTTTGAGCCAACAACAAGATCAAAATCTAGGCCAAGTTAGGTCTACTTTGGTCTCATTTACTTGCGTCCTAGATATGTGATTGAGCCTTGCGACTTCTTTACCGTGTTCTCCTCGAAACCTTATCTCCAATCAGTAGTTCTACAACTCATCGAGAAGAAGGGATTGAACCTGATTGAAGCTTGGGTTGATAGGGTCACTATCAAGGTAGGGACATCTCTTGTGAACCAATTTTGGGAGTAAAGCATGATGCATGCTTCCTCAAAATCAAGTTCACCAACTACAATGATAATGGTTCAGTTTATGGGAAACTTGATACTGATATGATAGGAATTTGACACGACTCCCTTTTTTTTTTTTTTTGGGTAAGCATTTGACACGCGCTCCCAAAGAAAACAAAAGCCATTCAGGATGGCCCTATAGCTTTAAGCTATCAACCAAATCCGAAGGACAATACATAGAACTACAGTCCCTCCTGTTAGAATATATATATATATATATATATATATATATATATATATGTTGGGCGGATTTGTAATTTACTTATAGTTTGTGGCCTTAGTATAATTAGGCCTTTCTTATATTTGTATACAACCCCTATTTTGTTTAGGGTTAAAGTAATGAGAATAGATTGTAGCCTCCTTCAGACATTCTCTCTATCTCTAATGTTTTCTCTCTCTACATGGTATCAAAGCGGCCGATCCAATTATTACCGTTGCAGTATAATCGTTTGTAGAGGTTGTGTGACTTGCGCTTGCCTAGAGATTGCAGAGGTTTCATTTTTTTTTGTTGTAGCAGAGAGAGTTGTAGAGGTTTCATTTTTCGAACCTGTCCTTCGCTGTCGCCACAGGTTTCATAGCTTATTCTAACGGAGTTTTTTTATCGACGACCTGCTATTTACTGTTGCTGAGAAGTTGGCAGAGATCAATGTTGCTGTGTAGCTGATTGACGGCCACCGGCGACCTATCTGTTCGCTGTCGTCGGAAGTTGCAGAGTTTTTTTTGTGTTGATTGTTTGGTCTCTATGCTTTGTCGGCTGAGTTGCGATTGCGACTTACCTTCTATCCATTGTAGCCGTTGCCTCCTCAGTTTTCATTGTTGTGCTTTGTCGGTGCCACAGCTTGCCCTCTGTTGAGGGATTGTGAAGAAGAAGGGGCCTGTTTGGTTATAGGGGCATGGGTGTCTCAACCTAGTTTTAATCAAACTAGTTTTGCAGTGACCGGGTTCAGATCCAACTCGGTTCAGTGACCCGTTTGTCAGACCCGACTTGATTGGCATTCTGCTGCAGTCTGTATCCGACAAACCTCTTTTGGATCTGCAAATTTTGTTGGATCTCTAGACATTTGTTGCACATTTGTTGCATCTGCAAGTATGTTGAATTGAAATTTGTTTTGTTGGAATCAATAGAAGATCATTTGAGCTGAAAACAAAAATCTTTGGATTTAAATTTCACTAGTATTTGGTATTTCTACTCGTTCTCTCTATAACAGTTTGTTGTGCACCTGTCTTCTTTGCATAGTGGGCAGTGAAATTCTAGTGGTAGATTGACAATAGATCGTGAGGAAGGCAGCTCCTCTATTCTCTGAAAAAAAAGAGTCTCATTTGGTTGGTTTTTTTTCCAGAGAGAAAAAAAAAACAGCCTCATTTGGCTTCAAAACAGCAACAGCACCTTGTTTTATTTTCTTTCTAGTTCTGCTGTCTTCAATATTCTCCTACAATGTCAGAATGTTCTAGTACTGTCACACTATCCCGCGCTGAGTTTAATACCTTGGTCAATCAGGCACAACAAAAATCTATTGATCGTGTTGTTACATTTGCCCGGTCAGGTAATAATGCATGTTTTTTGGATTTGCAATCCTCGTCTTCACCTTGGGTTCTTGACTCTGGGGCATCTACCCATCTAACGGGTAATGAATCTCCATTTTCTAATTTCTACAAGTCAAGTTCCACATCTTTTGTTACTTTGGCAAGTGGTAGAACTCGTCCCATTCTTGGTCAGGGCACAGTTAGACTAAGTACTTCCATTTCGTTATCTTCTGTGCAATTGGTTCCACAATTTCCTTTTAATTTACTATCTGTGAGTAAACTGACTCAAGCATTCAATTGCTCTGTGACCTTTTATCCTTCATTTTGTGTCTTTCAGGACCTCAAAACGAAGAAGACAATTGGTGGTGGCATTAGAAAAAATGGCCTCTATTACTTGGATTGTGAATCGTCTACTAGTGGTGTGGCTTTCCATTCACAGGTTTCTGTACGGCAATGGCATTATCGGTTAGGTCATCCCTCTTTGAGGTACTTGAAGTCTGCTTTACCTTTTCTTGAGTCGGTGCCTAATTTAGACTGTGAGTCGTGTCAATTGGGCAAGCACCATAGAGTGTCTTTTCCTCCCCATATTGGTAATCGTCGGTCTTCTTTATTTGAATTGGTGCATGCGGACATTTGGGGTCCCGCTCGTCATGTCAGTCACTTAGGGTTTTCATATTTTGTTACCTTTGTTGATGACTATTCAAGGATGACTTCGATCTTTTTAATAAAAGATCGTTCTGAACTTTTTTCCATATTTCAATTATTTTTTAAAGAAATTGAGGTCCAGTTTGGATGTGTTATATGAACTTTACAATCTGATAATGCCATGGAATATGTCAAAGGTGCTATTTCTCAATTTCGCGACACTCGTGGTATTTTGCACCAAACTTCTTGTTCTTATACTCAACAAAATGGCGCAGCAGAACGGAAAAATAGGCATTTAATTGAACTAGCTCGAACCTTAATGATTCATATGCATCTTCCCAATGCATTATGGGGAAATGCCGTTTTAACTGCTTGCTATTTAATTAATGGCATGCCATCTTCTGTTCTTAACTGGAAGAGCCCTTTTTCTATTGTTTTTCCTACTCGTTCGTTATTTGCATTGAAGCCTCGTGTTTTTGGTTGTGTGTTTTGCTCATGTATTACATCTTGGCGCTGGTAAATTGTCTCCTCGTGTCATTAAATGTGTCTTTATTGGTTACTGTCGAACTTAAAAAGGTTTTAA